ATCAAGACCTCATGGTGGGGCTAGAGGGGAAGTCAGGGGCTGAAGAAAGTCAGAATTCATCAGCTGGGAACAATGAATATACAAAATGTTGAAAAGACAAATAAAGGCTGATATTATTTTGTCTTATCTTGCAATAATATATATGAAAACTTGGTGCTAGAGAAAAATTCAAATGATCAACAAAGTCATCAGAATTCATCCAGTGGTTTCCATGAATGACTACTCAATTGTGACCAACCGTCAGACTGACATTGACATCCACTGAGCCAGCATTGCTCAAAACTTCTGACACTGAAGACAGGGCAGTTGATTAGTGGAACAAGGCTGTTTGAATCATCAGGATAAAGTATAGTTGCTTATCACTGCCATTGCAATAAAATGAAACATTGTGTTTACAAATTATGTGGCCCAGAGGGGAAGCACGTATGATGCTAAAATTGAGTCCCGTGGAACTCCAGATTTTGATGTTCGCTCAAAAGAAAGATGAGTTTCCACCGGTAAAATAGAAGTTTCTGTTTGAGTAGAGGGAGATGAATCTGTCAAGCGCACGGCAGGTAATACCACCCTGTGCTTACGGCGTTGAAATTTTAAATTGGATGATCAACGGTGTCAAAGGCAGCTCTGAGGTCTAAAAGGATTAAAAAATGAGCAATTTGCTGCATCCGCTTTTCAAAGCATGACATCATCATTATTCAGATTAAAAGCAGGTTTTCCCCACTTAGTGTGACAGCGGCTTCGCATCACACTGAGTCTCCTGCACCACTTTGTAAAACTGTCAACTGTTCAGAGGTCCCTGTCAGAATATTATTTGATAACGCTGATGTCTGTCCAGCATCACCGTGTCCTGAAAATGCAGTGGAGAGGACTCTGTGAAAACATTATTCGCCTGGATGGTCTCTGTTCCCTGTGGAAGGAAGAAACTCAAGACTCAGCTGTGGGGAGCTGTAACTTCAAGGAGTCACAATCCAAATAAATTACAATCTTGTGTAATCAGCAGTAAGTCATGTGGTTACATGCACCTTTATAAAATCTCTATGTATGCATGACAGAGCTCATCTTGCATATTTTTAGGTTGTATTAAATACTTATTTATGAAAAGAATCTCTGAAAGTTTGAGGGAGGTTTGTTTCAAAATCTGTCTGCACAGGTTCATTAGGTAACACTTTATTTTAACCTTCCATATTTCAAATGAACAGCAGTTTATAAACGCTTAATTTATTGCTTATGACACACTATAATGTAGATTTAAGATTTTAAGTGATTAATTTAGTATTTATCATCATTTAAGAACTCTTCCTATCTGTAACTGGAGTATAAACAGTTAGTAAATTAACACAGTTGACACTGTTATTATAGTTGATGATACATGTATACACAATAACGAATCCTTGTGGTGTGTTATAAAACGTTAATTAAGTGTTAATGAACATGTAGTATTCATTCATAGGTAGGTTTAGAACTGTTTATAAATCAATTCAAAACCCATGAAAGCATGTTCAGCGTTCATTCTTTACTTTGGAAAGAGTAGCCTAGCGTAACAAAATGATTCTCAACTCAAGGTCCACTTACCAGACTTATTCCAGGACTTTCAACCACATCCCATGGCCATCATCCACGGCAGGAGTTCATTCAGTCATCATATGAAGAATCATAAAGAATTTCTGTATTAACAGAATACAAATAAATAATACATAGGGAATAAAAGATGATTAATGAATATAACCGCCTCCATAAATACTTCATATTTCATGTTCCTATATAAAGATATGTTTTATATTGTCAAACATTCATGGTGTATTTACTTTCTGAAATCTTTAATACTATGCCTATATAATGTTTCTGTGAAATTATCCATGGGAATCTAGCCAGCAAATGAGAGTTATCGCAAGCTAACTGCTGAGATAGCCACGGCTAACCTCAGCTAAAACTAAATTTACTTATTGATTTCTGACAAACAGTTTGTACATTTGTACATTAAAAACATAAATTTTGATAAAGTAACAGTAACTGCCATCTCAGCTTCTGACTCTAGTGGAAATAATGTGATTTGGTGTGGTTAAACTACCTTTACCTTTATTTTACATATTTAAAAGTGATCAATTGTATATTAATTTATTATATTGATTTCTTCATAAATATTAGTAGTAGACAGAAAGGCACCTGCTAGCAAAGTAGACATAGGCCTCAATTAAATCTCCATAAACTATTGACTTTACATAGTCAATTTCTGTTGTTAATGCTATTGTAGGGCAGTGCAGTTGAACGCATTGCAGGGCACTTAAATTATTACAGCTTCAATATTTACAGCTACAATATAGTGTGTTCTTAGTGCAATAAAACATTTATTAAATGTTTATGTACTGTTTATTATTGCTAAATAGGGTGCTTAAAATATAAGAGAACAACATTCAATCCGTCAAATCACCTTGTCCACAAAGGACCATGTTGTTTACAGCAATGATCTTTTATAGCTGTGGTCATGGGGTTTAGTAGGTGGAACATTAAGGAGGAAATACAATCAAGTAAATATGATCACATGATCCTTTGACAGCTGACCTCCGCTCTACAATAAGGCAACAAAAAGAGACCATAGAGCTATTGATTAAGACAACACAGCCTCGTCTGTCTCCACTTGACTCTTCACTTCGGTGCTCGTAATGACACAATGAACAAAAATCATTTCTGACCTACATGGAAGGTCACACGCCTGCGGCCTGCAGCACATCAAATAGGCGGTCAGCAGCTTGTTTTTTCTAACTGCACTTTCTTTAAAGTCTTTCAGCAACAGTTTTTGCCTCTTTACATTAACTTTTACTTAAGATAAACACATACGACTAGAAGACAAAGCAAAAGTTCAAAAGAACTCATCTTCCCTGCTGATTAGATTTTACCCGCTTGATCTGCATGAATCCAATTTATTAACAAATAGAGTGCCGATGCAAAGGACGCCACAGAATTAGTGGCACGCAGTACTATCTGGAGAATATGTAGCTGAAAAGCAGCGCCATTCTAAGTAGCTACCAAGTCACTTGAGTAGACAGCAAAAATGAAAGAAAATGATTTTTAACAAGATGCGGGAGCTCAATAAACAGGCAAACATTCCTCCAGGCGCTTGGAGTAAAGGGGACTACACAATCATCTCTTTTCTGATGTGGTGGGGTTAGAGAGGAGGGCTGGGGATCACTTCCTGGCTAGGACAATCAGCCCTCAGAGGACATCCTTAACTTTATTTGTTCCACTTGATGGTCATAAAGGAATCATGCTCCCTGATTTACCATAAAGTCAGCAGGTTTCTGAAAGTTGTGCTCTGCTTCACATCTGACACACTGTTGCTGCTGCTCTGGATTTTTATTTCACCCTATGCACTTATGTGTGTAGAGTGAGGACATTTATTTTAGATGTGATATAATGTATGTGATAAAAAAAGAGTTTTATGAATACAGGCTTTAATAATAGGGAAAAATCAAAAGGATGGGCTGCCTAATGAAATGTGTAGACAGCTAACGTAAGGAAGATGGTAGCAAAATCATATTTTATTTGACTGAGAGAAATTAATCTGCAACTATTTTGATTGATTTCCATTCATTTTTCAAACAACAAGTCCAGACAGTTTCTGGTTCCAGCTTCTCAAATGTGAGGATTTTGTGGTTTTCGTGAAAGTAGACAAACTATTGTTTGGGTTTTGGACTGATTGACAAATCAAACAAGGTATTTGAATAGATCACCTTGGGGCTGAGGGAAAATATCACATCGCAGATTAAACAATAATGAAATCAGTTGTCATTTCTACTGAAATTGATAAATGACTTAATTGAGGCTTCAAATATGCACATCTTTGCTGTCCTTTGGGGAAAAACAAATCAAAAAACTTATTTTCACAAAATTTAACTGTCAAGTGAAATGAACACAGCTAAAGTAAAGTAGGCTGTGGCAAAATCATTTTTTATTTGCACTGGAAATGATAAACGACTTAATTCAGGCCTCGGACATGCTTATCCTAGTTGACTCTTGGGAATAAACAAATCAAATTTAACCGTATCTTCGCAACATTTCAGCAGAGAGATTATTCTTTTTTTAATCTAACTGCAAAAACACCAACAGGGTCTCTACCTGCATTTTGCATCTACAGGATTTGCAAGTTAAACACAACAGTGTGACAATTAACAGTCTCCACACCTAACAAATATTTGATCTCACATTCTTTAACACATGCTCTAATAGCCATATGCTTTAAAACAAATGAGCTCCTGCTCCTTCTCCTCCCACTATCACCACAACGGCTAAATCAAATATTCATGTTGGATGGGAAAGCATTTAACACGTTGTTGTTATCGGAGAAATCAGTCATGCAGCTAATTGTTGTTGTAAAAAGGGGAAAATCTTGCAAGATTATGAAGCTAATAGGCATTATGCATTCTCCCCCCCTTCTCTGACACCAGTATGATAAAGTGTTGTCTATGGAGTGAAAGATATTAGATTCTCCAAAGAATAGTGAGGATAAACAGCTCCACTATCTCAGCAGTATTAGAGTGCCCTCTCGATGGCACTTTTCTTTAATGAGGCAAATGATCTGAATAATAGGCCGCGCTGCTTGTAACGTTTATACATTAGGTCATGGCTGAGGTCTCTACCAAATCAGTGGACCTGTGGCTGTGGTTTTCATACCTCCTGGTTGCACCTGCTCTTCAGCGAAAAGAGCCCCTGAGCCACCTGGCCCAATCCAAAGTGCAACGGCAGGCACCTGGAATAGCTTCATGATGACTCACAACGAGGAGAATCTACCTACAGGGGAGTTAAGCCCCTCGCAGCGAGAAAAACAAGTGTCTATTTGTCAGATCACATCTTTCAGGTCAGCTTTGGGGCATTGGGGCAAATAGGAACACACTAGAAACTAGAAAGAGTTCAACTTTGACTGTACCCCTAAAGGCATTGCACTTTTTGTGCTCTAATCTCTATCTGCTGCAAGTAGACAGCATATGGTAAAAGACAACAAAATGTAGCCCGAGGAAGTCTATTTAATCCTTGATGGCAAAGATCCCAGAAATTCAAGGAGGTTGTCAAAGCAAATGCAAATGTGAGCTTTTTGTGAAAACATATTAAAATCTAGATATCCGAGTGCCCTGTGCCTCTGCAGTGATTGCTGTGATTGAGCAGGAAGATAAAAAAAAAAACACATTTTCTTCAAGTTACATACATTTAGTTTGATGAAATTAGTTTTAAAATGAGGATTACTTGCTAAAAAGAACTACGCCCCTTGCATTTCAACTTTACACACACTGGGTAAAGAAATGGGCCCTCAAAGGGTATAACAAGTGAGTGCAGATCAATATAGCTAGTATGTGTTAAATTTCAAGATTGTTTGATGTCTGGACAGGTTCACAGGGAACAGGTTCAGGCCTGCTTCAGAGCTGAGTCACCTCTCTCCTCATTTTTACATCCCCACAACATGAGATGGTGCAAGCTGGATTAAATATCGTTTACTTTTGTGCGAGTTATTCCCTTTGAAGCGTGTGACAATCAGTGAGTCCCACTAAAGGAGCTGCTCACACACAGAGGGCTCCACAGATGAGAAGCAACTTGAAAGATGCCAAAAAAAATAAATAATTATACAAAATGTCATGAAACTTTATTTTCCAAAGTGTCATGAGAATATGAAAATATCAAAATCATTCATCAGCATCACAGTTTTCACTGTTTTCACAATATACAATCATCTCAGTCACGCTTACATTCAATATATAAAAATATAAAAGGAAACATACATATTATTGCCAAGTAAAACTGAGGCACTTGAGATATTTTGTTTTGCTATTTGAGTGCTGGCAAACTGTTTCTAATGACTGTGCAAAAGTTAGAATAATTTCACCCTAAAAAATAAGTTTGCACTTGTTCCCTAAGTAAAAATGGCTTCAGTATCCCTCTAGTTATATATATTTATACTGCCATTCACAATGCGCCTTTTAGTATTGTTTGTGTGGTTCATATAAAAAAGTGGAGGACTGCATAACAGCCACTGAGAGACACTGGTACAAACACTGCAGATAACATTGTGAAGGCATACAAAACATTCTAGACATGCAGAAAAGTGCATGAATAGCACAGGTAGGTGAGTACATGGTATGACAAAGCTCAGCACTGATTGCAATCACAGAAACACTGCTTGAAATGAGAAGCACGTGAGCGCAGAGCTATTTCTCACTCTGAAATGAAATCAACCGCTTGTAGAAAAAAAAAAGTCTTTGGAACAAACCCTCCTCTCCATGTGATTCCCTGACAGTTCTCCTGGGCTTGAAAAAAATAAAGAAGCAACAGAGGGTTTTTTTTCTGTTTCTGGTGGTGGAAAAGTATCCCAGTTCAGTGTGCTACACAACAACCAGATTCCTCATGCTTGTGCAGAAGAGACATCCTGGAGAAGGTTTTGGAGCAGTTCTTGCATTGGTATTTTTTCACATCCGAATGGGTCTGTAGGTGAGCCCTGAGATTGGACCTGTCCGCAAAAGCCCTGTTGCAGTGAGGGCAGGAAAACGGCTTCTCTCCTGTTAAGGCAGAAATGAGAAAGAAGACATTGTCAAGGATAGCACAGGGACATAATAAAATAATAATGTAATGTAATAATAAAATGTAATGTAATAATAAAAGAGATGTTACAGAGGCATCTTGGCCTGCTATTGAGTATATTATATTGCTGGTTGATTGTAACATAACATCTGTCAAAAAAAAGCACAACCAAATGGAAACATAGAGGAAGTAATACCATTCTGAGAGTTGAACATCATATTTTTCACAACAATATCAGCCTTGGTGTTAAAAATAACTGTTGTAAGCTGTGTAACAGGGTGCTGCAAAGGCTATTACATCTTGAACACAATTAGTCTGCGCCTGCAAAAGCCCTCAACAACTATTCTGCCTCTTCAGTCAAAAGGCCCCTCTGTTATTTCACAGCCACTCACCGGTGTGCGTCCTGATGTGTCCTTGGAGCAGCCACGGTCTGGAGAAAGCTTTCCCGCATATTTTGCAAACACAAGGCAAAGTGTGAGTCCTGATGTGCATTTTGAGAGCTCCCAGGCTTACATACTCCTTCTCGCAGTATTTACAGCTGAAGGATTTCCTCGTTTGGGCGTCGCAGTGCAGCTGTTTATGCTTGAGCAGTCCAGAGTACGTTGAGTAGGACTTGCTACACAAACTGCATTGGAATTTCTCTGCATCCACTCCGTGAGGGTCTGTCAGCTTGGGCAGCATCTGCTCGTCTTCATCACTCCTCGGGCTTTCAGAGCCGCTGTGGTCTTTAGAGGAGGTGTCGGAGAGCGATGAGGGGTATCCGGATATTGGAGAGAGGTCACTGGGGAGCGGAGACAGCGGCAAGTTGCTGGTAGTCCACACTGTGATGGGGCTGTACGCTGCCGGGTTCAGGATCTCCGGCTGGGGGATGACAGGCAGGGGGAGGCCCCTGTAGATGTGCGGCGTGAAGAACACTGAAAAGAAAGAAAGAAAGTAAAATGAAATGAATGATCATGTGTTACTTGTCATCGTTTGAGCAAGGAGCGCGGCTTTTAAAAGTATACCGCTAAGTTTGAAAACAATAACTTTTGCAAAGTGAAAACGCGACTGCATATAAGAAATTTGTAAAACTCTGTAAAGTCAGACAGGTCCTTTACTTTGAAAACTTTACCTGTTGGGCTCTCCAGCTCACTATAATTTGGCTTCTTTGCGGAGTTTGTGTGTTTCTTGACCAGAAAAGAGCGTGGCATCTTGGAAACAAGTGGACAACTTTTGGCAAACTTTTTTTTTTTGTGAAAAATATAGCGGTGAGCGTCAGTTTACTGTGTGAAGACGGAAATCCTTAATGCTTAAGTCCAGTGGAGTGTCATGGTGCTGCGCTGCACTCTTGGAAACAGTGCATGGGGAAGCTGTAAAGAGCTGTAAATACTCCCTATCAGGTGCATGGGAGGAGCCACGCACTGCCATCCACATTTACTGGGAGCTCAAACCAATTAAATCTCGCTTTTGCCACGGAGCTTCTAAAATGTGCTTTTAGCCTATAGGAGCGCATAACCCACACCCCAGAGGGGCTGGGTTAGTGCCATTTACTCTAGTTAGACAGGTGCTTTGTGCTTGACTTGAGTGTGTTATCAAGGATGAAAGTGCACATGGCATCATAGAGTTGGCATTGGTTGTAGCAGAGAAGATTACTGACATAAAAGCAACCAAAACGTGCAGAGCATTTTTAAAAATTAAATTCCTGCAAACTACAGAGAGATCATGAAAGAAGTGCAAGGGAAAGAATCAGAGCTACAGGGTGAGATAGACAGGAGTATTGCTAATGCAATCACTGCACTGAGTGTGCATGGTGCTACTGATGATTGTTGTGTTACAAACCTCTGGGGACTTGATTATCCTGTATGGGTGGCATATTTTAATTGGAGAATACCAACACCAGAACTCCTAATAATTATTATAATGACCCGACTGAAGGAAGAGAGAAGGTTTGCCATCTACGTGTCTACACATTTTCTCACCGAATCTATTGAACAAATACATTTGTGACTTCAAGCTCAAACCAACAACTGGACCAACCTACATTTTGCCATCCATATCTTCATTCTGTGGCTTCGCCAATGGATGACCCTGCCTAATACAGTTGTGTGTGGAGAAAGCCACACATTTCCTTGCCTATAATGTAATAAAGCATTGCTCCTTGAAATGTAAATTTAAGTGTAGTTCCCTCTCAAGGTCAGACGTGATACCATAATCAAATTTATCCCTGCTGCTGCTGCTGCTGCTGCTGCGGTTGCTGCTGAATTGGTCAAGGAGATGCAAACTTGGCAGTCTACGCCCCCTTGTGTTCAACTCAGTTCTTCTTATGTAGGCGTGAGTTGCACATCTAGAAGAAACAAGGCAGGGAAAAAAAGAAACACAGAGGCAAAGGCTTAGCTACGGTGATATTGAAAAGTAGCTCCTGGAGCAGTTTGATTGGCTAGGTCAGCAGATATGAAAAGCTCCTTATGTCTGGGGCAAGCCTTAAGTTAATTGTGAACTGCTTATCTTATCTAGAAAACATAATTGCAGATCATGAATAGTTTCCCTTTGTGCTTTCTTGGATTATAAAGGGAAGCGAAGGTTATCTGTGCATACTAACTCCTGGCTACTGTCACACATTCAGCGCTCTGTATGGCAAGTAGGAAGTGGCGTGGAATGGTGGTGGTGTTTGAGCAGAAAACATTGTGCACTGTAAAAGATAATGCTTTGAAATCAATATTACCCACCAACCAAACCATATCCAAGACAAGCAGATCTTGCATGGCCAGGTGACAAATGCCTTCCTGCGGTTTTCATGCTTCAGTACTGTACAGAGCATGTAGATGCTGTTCTACTGACAGCAGTGAAGGATGGAGTGTAAGCATGGAGCTCCAACACAAATCACATCACCGATTCTGAAAAACAGAGGCTGTAGTTTATGAGCTCAGAATTAATTAACAGAGAGGAAGCCATGTATCCTTGGCCCTGCATTGTGTTAGAGCAGGATAGTGCAACACCAGAAAAAATATGCTCAATTGAAACATGAACATGCTTTTGATTTCAGTTCAAGCACAGGTAAAAGGATAACATTTGATTTGCTTTTTAGAGGCACCAGCAGCACCAGCAGCACCAGCTTCTCAATACAACATCCAGGTGTTGTCCACTGGACCGTCTGGGCATCCTAATCTTTTTTTAAGTCTCAGCCATGTGGTCTCATTCTGCACAGTGTTTTGTTGAATTCAAACTATTCATCATCTTTTAAAAAACATCTTACACAAACATTTGTAAATTGAAATTACAGCATTGACTGATAAACAACTGGAATGAGCAGTAATTCTTATATATTTATATTTCTTTTTCCCCATTGTTTTGAAATTGCCTTTCCACCCCTCATTATTTTAATTTAATGTAATCCCGCTTATCTTGCCCTGAGTTTTTCGGAGGTGTCTTTGTATAAGCTTTTAGCCTCCTACCTTTCCTGCACAGGCTTTTGTTTACTTTTAATCCATGTATATCTGAATATATGTAGGTGTATGTTTGTGTATATGGAAATGTCTTTGTGTGCATATAGTATTTTTAATAATAGTTGTATTTTAATATACAAAACAAAATCACCCAGTATATAAGAACTGTACATAATGTACAGGAGGTTAGATGGGTTAAAGCCCCCTAAAACTTGGTTTCACATTTGATGTTTTTATCAGTAACAGTAAATATTCATGACTAAATAAGCAACTATCAAAGTTTAGCTTAGGTAACATCTATCAACAGTATAAACTCACCTAACCTGCTTCTTCAAGACTCTGTGTGTGGTTTGATCAGATTTGCTGGCAACCTTTATCACATTTGCCCATTTCTGATTGAGGCATGGAACAACAGAGCCCCGCCCACTTTTAACCAGTGATTAAAGCTCAGACACAGAACCCGGCTATCTCACCTGAAACATCCAAAACTGATGCAACTTTGGCAGATAATGCTTTTGATAATATAGGACCCCCATTGCTCCTCATTGTAAAAAGTTGACTGAGAAAACATGTAGGCCTACTAGGGAGCGGTGCACTGATACAACATTTGATTTCCTCATGGCAGATTCGATACCTCTTGCTCAGGTTGTGTGGCGATAACGAGTACCAATACCAGTGCTCTCTTTGCCCCCAAATTTAAAATCTGTATCTCACTGTAGAAAAAGATTGATAAGGCACTGAGTTGGCAGCATACCATAACTAAATTAATATAACTGGTAGCAGAAACACAGGATTCTTCCAGTGACGCTGACAAAGAAATAGCCTAGCCTTTTCCCGTGGATTGGTCACGTGCTGGCTGATACTTGATCCACTCAATAGGCCCAGAATCTGTGCTGAACTCGATCCAGCGTATCAGTATCTGTTTGGGACATCCAGTGGCATTGCACATTAATCTGGGCCCAGTACATAAGCATACTCTATGCACCCCTCCCTGCATTCACGGCTATTTGTTATAGTATGTTCATGGGCCCCCCTTGACAGTCCCCTCCCAGTTCCACACCCCTGGGGACATAACCTAGACAGGTAGAAGGAGGCCAGATACTCTTACAGTGCTTCTTGTGAGACCTGAAGGCTATCCAAGAGCTATAATCAGGGCATGAATTAGCTTTGGTTTGCTAATGGATCACAGCAGAACCCTGAGGACAGCAGAACCAACAGGACTCAGCGTACTGGCCCAGAGCTGATGGACTTGCCCTTTAATCAGCAACCCTTTCAGAATAAGAGACTCGATCTGTGATGGGGTGCCATAGTGAAATGCCCACGTGGTCCTGCATTTATGAATACTTGGTGGCTGTGACTCGCTAGTATAGGCAACATTTAACGTCATAAGAGTCCACTTGCATCATGGGCGGGGGGACAGCGGGAGTCTTCAGCTGGCATGATGACAGCATGGAAGATGAGGTGCACCTGGCCAACCTTGCGCAGCTGTTCACGCGAGGGCCTCGGGGAAAGAGTCCAACTACTGAGAACACATAGGCCCATGTACAGTGTGTGTTCATTGACAACACAAACTGAGTCACGAGAGTCTGAAGTTGCAAGACTGAAACAATCCGCCCATAGTTTTTTCTTTAATAAGCCATTTAGCTCAGCAAAGTTGTAATCCGCATGCAGACACGCTCGCCTTTCATGTAAAAATAAGTAGGCTTTGCATAGGCAGTAAAGCAAATGTTATTTTTTCTTTTGTATTTTGCCGCAGATCTCATTTGTAAGCGAGCAAACCTGGGTATGAATCCCAAATGAATTCAAACACACACATGCACACGCACACACACAGAGGACCGCAGTGCACGCAAACGTAATTGGCAGAAAAAGAAAGAAGAACGCTTTGTAGGATATTTGTGCGTCTTTCACTCGAGTGTAACGTTGGACGGAGCAGCAGACGTCCCTAGAAACAATAAAAAAGTGGAACCATGTAATATTAATGGATCCGGAGTTGTGCGGGTGCCTTGGGTAAACGAAGTCGATTGACGCGCGCGTTAAACCAGCCGCGTGTGATTCCCAGCTTCAGTCATTTTGGCAGCACGATGAGAGAGAGAGACGGACACAGAGCTGTGAAACTGGACCCTCTGCCAGAGATGTCGACGGAGAGGAATCCCTGAAACCGCCGCTGCCCAGGAAATGTGGACAAATCTTGTTTTGTGGGCTTATTTTCTGTCGGATTTCTGCGCGTCGCTACAGAGTGGAGTGGACCAGGATGCCGTGTGGGCGATGCTGCCACAAGGGATGCATTGTGATTTCGCAGAGATGTTTTAGCAACCGTTGCATAAATTAAAATAAGACAACCCGTCACAGGAAGGGATTGGGAGCCTAAAGGGATCTAATAAGACATCACCACCTGTTACTAGAAAATCAGGTAAGCCTCGCAGACCCTTTTTCTCGCTTGTACATTTACAGTGGCTTATGATAGCCTACTACAGTGCATGACGAACGTAGGTAGTTAATTATTATGCCAAACATCCATGAAACGAAACATTAATCCGTTTACAATGTACTTTTTTGAGATTTAATTTGCCTTAATGCTGCGCACCAAGATTTACATACCATTCGCCTATATGATCCGATGGATGATAAAGCATCACATCCTCTGACAGTCACGTTTGTGGGATGCACTGAGCTGAACACTTCACTTAATGATGGGCCTCATGATGAAACACCGTTTCATTATTGTATGATTTGCAGGGAATATGTGGACTTTACAACATTTACATTGGCTCAGTGCAGGTAGCCTACACATGAGCAGCACCCGCAGTTGCTCCAGCCAGTGCAGTGGCAGCAGACCTCTTTTCATCCACAGTGCTGTTAGTACTCTCTCTACACTGGATGCCAATAATCAACTACATCTAGGCTACCTACCTTAAAAAACAGCACATTTTAATGGTCAAACGTTACTGAAGTATTCACAAATCGCCCATCAGTCCTGCCGCCTTGTTTCTGGATCATCAGCAGCTTCTTGGAAAAAGCACCAAGGCAACATCCATCTGTGATAAACCTTAGGAGTATTTCAGCACAGCCTGCTGCTGCTGGTCCAGTGTGTTTTATTAGCCTCGCAGAAAGCCCCTGAATCCTCCAGTGTTTCACAAAATTGATGCTGCTTCTTTAACTGTAAACTGGTGTGGCTTGTTTTTTTCTCTTATTATGGGCTGCACAGTGATAGACAGTAACTGCAGTTTATGTCTAAGAAGCCTAGATTTCATGTAGCTAAGTGATTTCTGGTTTTCTGTGCTTGTATGAGCACATTGATCCAAGCGGGTCCATTCGCTGGTCACAGATCAGAAGCAATCTGTTTGATGTACTGGAGGTCTCACTTCCTACAGGGGGAAAGATGTTGACATGTCATTGATGATTTTATGCCCTAGCACGCACATCCCCTCCCCCCTATTTGTGCTTATGTCCTATATCAAAGAGCAGTTTGGCCAAGTGACAGGGGTACACTGGCAGAAAATCAGGCCTGAGTAAAATGGTGTCAGTCATGTCTGGTCAGTATGTCAGGTGGGAAGAAAGTGAGAGCCAGGGACAACTTGTTTGAATCCTCCATACTGGGACAGGAGACTGTGACAAAGTTTTACCCAACACAGTCATGATCTAAACAGCATTCTGGCATTGCTCATGATCTGGAAACAACGTCTACACTGCATATCAAAGAGTTTGTCCGCACTTTATCTTTCCTCCTTAAGTGATCAATAATCCGTTGTTCCTCCTGCAACTGAATCCCAGTGGGTCACTTAGAAAGCCGTACTAGTTAAATCTCTTGAAATATACAAGTGGGGTAGGTTGTCCATTGCATTACTAGAAGCGGTGAATGTACACATCGACATCAATTATGTATGTTAACACATTCAAAGTGCTGTTACGCTCCCACAACATCACACAGTCGCTTGATATGTAATAGTTGTTCTGAATATTCAAGGGTTACCCTTTCAGTACTCATGAGCATAAGTTCATTTTTAATGCCATGTGGCTTTATTCAGTGACCTATTTTGACCAAAAAAGAGAGTGCTGTGCTGAAAATAATGCATGAAAAAAACCCTGACAAGGTCCCATAGATTAATAGAAGAAGTGGCAGAGAGTTTAGGGAAAGCAAGTAATAAAAACTAAAGCAGGAATTTGCAGATGTTTTGTGTATTGAAAGAAAACTGTTTGGTACCTCCGAAGAGAGCAATCCTTTAACATTTTTCTCCAGCAATTGTTCTATCTAAAGGGCAGCCAGGAGGGCCTACAGTATGTCACTGTGAGGCTGGACATCTTCATTACAGTCCAGCCCCAGAGCCCGGCAGCAGAGAGAAAAATGTACTGCGTCTGATGTTTCTGTGGGGCTTTTATAGCAACTGTTTGATCGACCAGCCATACCAACAGCTCCTGATATTGAAATTGAACAGAGGAGAAGCCGTATGCTTCAAATAACAAATAAAAGAAACTGTAGATATCTCTCTCAGAGTGCGGGAAAAAATATTGGTGGTCTGTGCCACAAAGTCACTGTCATGCAACAAGAAAACCATTAGTCTGGCTTAGCGAGAGACTGATGGCTAATGAAGCGAATGCACACCAAACTCTCGTGGCGGGGAAGACAGAAGACACAACTCTCATTTATATGCGCCTCATATACCAGCCCATCTGATTTAGAGGTTCAGGACTGCAACACAGACTAACGCACTGAAAGCTACACGTAAGTGATAACTGCCCTAAGAAAAGCAATAAGGGGTTAGATTATACATAATGATTTATGATACTAGCAGGCTGCTTAACATACAAGTGACACAACCCTCAGAGATAACATCCATACCTTGAAGTACTGCATTTCTGTTGAGCAGCATTTCCTTTAAGCTTTACAATGTGCTAGTAGCCCAGGCTGGACAATTTTAGGTCACATTTGATTAATATGGAGAGTCTGCTTATCCGTTAAGCACGGCTGCCTTGACCGGACGCTACAGCAGCAGCTCAACCTTGATGGAAGGCAGTCTTGTACCCTGTATACTGCATTATTGTGTTTCCTTGGAACATTTGCTATTCATTCAACCTGTGAGTAGTAAAATAACCCCGAGCAGCTATTAGCCCACTTCACAATTTCTGCTTAGGATGGCCAGACTGTCCGGCCATCATAGTTTCTGTTTACTTTAAGTTGTGAAGTTGTCCGCACCTCTAGCATTTGTTATAATTATTATTTTCATCAATTAATCATCATCGTTATTTAACTCAAGCATTCAATTCAAGCTTTTTTCTGTTATTTTATCACCGCAAGTTGAATATATTTCCCTTTTGGACTCTTGTTCCAACAAAAAAATAAAAAAGCTTTTTGAAGAGTGGACTCTGGGAAATTGTGATGCGTGTTTTTTTTCCACAATTTTCTTATTTTATACACTAAATGATTGAACTATTAATCAAAAAAGCAACCAACAGAAACAATGATAACAAAATAGCCATTAGTCGCAGCCATACATATATGTAGTCATAGTTTATTGGCAGTTTTCAGGTGAACAGGGTCACATTTTAGCAGCTGGAAATGACCCGAATGGAATCATGCAATTCCTCCAGGAAATAAAATAAACACACGATAATCTACTGAACTTAAATTATATTCCTGAGATATTCATTTGTTTCATGTCACGCAGTTTGAATTCATAAATAATTTGCCCGAGCAATCAAGAGATAGTTCTATATTTCCCCACTTTATACTCAGTAAGTAAGCAGATGTGTCCCTCGACTGTGCAGCTTCATTTCAATGTAGCCTAGCCTTCAGCAATACGCTGAGCTTTTTTAATCCTTTCATGTACTCTACACACAGCATGGTGCCATTTCCAGGCCCCCAAGTCTTCCCCTGCAAGGCTTAGGCCTCATTGGTTGAAATACACAAATTACTATATACATATATATTTAGAGATATATAGTATAATTAGGAAAGTGAATCACGTTATTCAGTGTAGTATAAAAGTGTTTATTTGTTGAGCCTAATTAAGACCCACATGTAAGATAATATGCTTGATATGTCCAATACATTTATCCAAAGGCGCTGCACCATCATGTGTTAAGGAAAATGAAAAAAAGAGATTAATATCCCATTAAGGAACCTGTCAGTAGCAAAAATGCTGCAGGATCAGTTTCATCTAGCTTTAGTTTATTATCCTGTGAATGTCTATTTCTACTCCTTGATATCCAGTGATATAACAGGGAACCAGTTTGTGAAATGATTCTGGCTGATTTAAGTTGGCACCCACCTGATATCTGGTGGCTCCCTGTTGCCAAAAAACATACATCATAGTCAGGAAGGTCAAGAGCTCAGTCTATAAATGTGTCCATCACTAATTTATTCCTCTGCCTATCATTCACGAGCATCTGGCATGGCAAGCACCGCTGGCTCTTAGCGGGGCTCAGGTATTGACTTACGAGGTAATGAAAAAATTATTTTTTGACAAATGCTCTAAAAGAATTGAAAACACAAGGAGATACTCTTTCTATCTTGCCTGAATGATCTGTCTTGAACATAATCTGAAAGAAAAGAAGGAGAAGTGGCACCTCCAGCAGCACACAAAACAGGCCCGGTTGAATACAGGATGTGCTCTGTAAATACAGAACTGTTCAAACAGCTGCCTCTTGACACGAGCCTGTTCACTGACTGAGGGTTGAGTTTATTAATGTGTCATGAATTGTCAGGTGCAAAAGAACCCGCACGCCACAAAGGTTTAAACACTATTCTTTAAATTAAAACTATGTCGAACTGACACATTCTGTGTTTCCAGCTATTAAATGGGAGGATTTGCTGCTTTTCTCTAATTTACATCACTATAAATATGTTTTTTTTGTTTGTTTGATTGTTGATCAGACATAACACGACATTTGAAGAGGCTGCCCTGGCCTCTTGGAACATTTTTACATTTTATAGATTTTATTGTTTTCTAAATCTTCTATGATAGTAAATTGAATATCTTTGAACTATTTATTCAAGTATGGGTCAGACAAAACAAGCAATCTGTCCCAATGTCCCTGGAATTATGTCATCGATAGTTTTTACTACTTTCCAACATTTTATAGACCAAACCTTCAGCCGATGATGGAGAAAATCATCGGCAGATCATTTAACATCAATACAATTATAATCAATAATGACAGTAACTGTTAGCTTTAGCCCTAAAACCAAGCGAGGAACTTGCTGCTCATTTTTCTAGGAACAGGAAATATTTCATACTCCAGAGATACAAAATCAAAATGATCAGTGCACCCACGCATTAATTAAAAACTTCCATTTCAATCCATACCAATTATACACCTACGTAAAACAAACAAACAAGCAAAAAACACAAGTTAGATACAGCTCTGAAGTTTCAGACACAAAGAAGACACTTAAGTGCAACTTTTCAAAACAAGAATGAGGAAACTAGTCACAATAAATAACAATAACACACAAAAAAGAGGGGAAAAAGAGTACAAACTAAAACCAATTACATCTTGTATCCTAGAAAGAAATTGCCTACAAGGCCTCGGTGCTGTAAAATGTACAAATATGAAAGAAACGGGGCCTGGAAGTTCCAGGTTCATTCCTTAAAAGATAAAACTATTTGTTATAATTGATCAAGAAATAACCTAAATGTTGGAGCAGTGTGTTCCTTTCAAGATAACAAAAAAAATGTAATCTGTTTTCTACATTTTATTATTCTACATTTTTGGCAACAGAGGAGGCTGGCAGCTTGCAACAGAAATGTCATAATGTTTCCTAACATTGACTCAGCAGATCCTGTGAAATTGTGTCGGTATAATGCTGTTGATGTTGAGCAGGACACTTTTTGGGATGCCATAATGTTTGATATCCCCTATCATGACTCGTCAAATTAAAAAGCTACACTCCCAAGCGGCATATGTTCCAGGTCGCAGGACAAGTGAACATACAGTAAGTGAAACCCATCTCAATTTTTTGTCCAGTAAAACTACATTTGCTGGAGCACTCTGCAGGTGGCTGCTCCACCTGCGCGCACAAATGGCCATTCATCATCCTGTATGGGCCACAGCTGTCCTCAGGTCTAAGAGATGGAGATGTCATGTTGCAATCTCCACATCATCCAGGCAATTTACTCTGCTCCTCTCTTTCTGTTTCCTGCCATTGTGTCAAAGACAAGAGCATTATTTGAAAAACATTGCTTGGCAAATTGGTAGGTCTGAAAATATCTGATGGGGTGGTTGTAAAAGGAGTTGCGCTGACTCGACTTAAAAGGCACAAAAGGTTTGGGTCTGTTTAATCTTTGGATTCTTACACACACACACATACACAAAAAAGTTAAGTGCTGGCGTCTGACAGGATGTACAGGGGGGCACCTGCTGAGGCAAAGTGCTTGTCTCAGGGCCCCAGACACATTTTTCAGCTGAACACGTGAAGACATTCATTTTTTAAAGCAGGTCCACAAATGATGTCAGGATTTCTCTTATATCCATTACAAAGCTGGCTCGCCTCTGACGCAGACAGCTCCATGTGTGGAGCGTAAGGGCAGGTGGAGAAAAAAAAACTGTGATTCTTGAGATCAAATTGAATTTCTGAAGTCAATAAAACTTCAAAAACAAATATTTGGAACATACATATATTGACATATGTTGGAAAAACAACATCGTACATTAATAATGGGATGGAACATAACATGGAAGGACTCCAAATATATTTTGGAATGCATATCAATAATAGTTTATTAAATAATATTGCAAAATATATCATACTTCAATATCACATATCAATAAAATTACAGTATATTAAACTGGGGCCCAACTTATGATGTTTTCATTGTGGATTATTAACCGCCGAATTCTTGCTGATTAGTCGAATAATCGATCAGATGTTTGATCTATAAAATGTCAGATAAATCTGATTTGTCTGAACTACAGTCCTGAACCCACTGATATTCAATTTATCATCAGATTAGACAAAGAAAAGCAAGAAAAATCATTAGAAGCAGAACTGACAGATTTTAGGCATTTTTCCCACCACAAATTGACACCTCTATATCAAATTAACAGCGTTACTATAATTTGCTGTACACCATAATATGATATATTTCTCACTACACTGCAAATAATATTAAATGTAAGTAAAACACAATACAGTTCCACAGCACTGCAAACTACAGCTTCCAAAATGACCATAAAGTTAAATCCACATCTCTCTAAAACCCAAGCTGAACATTGTAACATTCATGAAGGTTCATTGGAGAGCTGTTGCATTAGCAGACCACTGAGTGTACAGTATGTCAACATATTGGATCCCCATAAATGAGTTGACTGAATTTAACTTTATTACCATCACAACAAATATTGTTTTGTTCACAATATGGTGCTCAGCACACAGTGCAACACTCGAGACAGCCTTCAGCACCAAAAAAAACATCAAATAAATAAAACCAATAATATACCTTAAAGTGCCGAAGGATACAATTCAAGAGTACATATTGAAATTCACAAAATACCACACATTATTGCAAAGAAAACCAGGCGAAAATAAATTGTATTGTAAATAAAGGAGTAGAAGGGCCAAAGGTTTAAGTATGGAATGGCCTCCTTTTTTTCCCAAATGGATGGTATTTTTCTTTTATGTAAAAGGAATGTTAGTTTGATGATCTGATCGTTGAGAAGATTTCTTGAGTGTTTGTACGGACTCTCTTCCCTCTCAGGGCTTTAACAAATACATTTGCAAGTTTCACTGCTGCTACTCTTACTGTATAATCAGGAGTCAATGATTTATGCATGAAATGTAGTTTGAAATGCATATACTGTAAGTTTCTTTTTTTTTTTATCCAGTAGAACAATGATCATAGTGGGAAACACTGCTCAACAAAAAGGTGGCATCGTGCCAACAATGCATACTAACGAGGAGGATTTCTCAAGGGTGTGCTATTGGAACTTGATAAACACTTTGACAGAGTCATTTGCGCTTGCCATACAAAGATCCAAGAAAATGGAAGAATATGAGTTAATTGCATTTTGGCATTCATGCATATGAATCCACAGGTTTTTATGAGTGAGGTATTTGAGACAGTCATTCACAGGCTAAAGAATGAGATTCATACTTCTGAGTTTGCTTTTGAATCTTTTTTTTGGTGCCAGGTGCTTATTTTGGGAAATAAAGCTGTGAATTGCTTCTGATTCAACATCCCACATACATGCAGTAGTTATATTGACATCACACTTGTCTGTGTTGCTGGCAACTGTAGATTACATCTTTTGACTGGTGGTCAGAAGCATTTAATCAACAAAATTCAGCTCTGTTTTTGAATCTGACGACTGAAAATAATTTATTTTGTTTGTTTATCTCAGCTCCTCCAATTCTGTGTATAATATTTAACACTAGAACCACCAATGAAATTTACCTGCGGCTGTTAGTTGATTGTATGTATCTTTGTTTCAATATAATATTCAAGACCCCAAATCTTTGACTTTTCCTAAAAGTGTGTTATGTAGCACCCCCTATTGTTAAAAAATGTCAAGATTTAAAAAATGGGCATTTATACCTATAAGCGCCAGCGGGTAAAATTTACCCCTGTAGAGAATACAGTAATTTTTAGCGCTGTTCATGTTGCACGTTTAGATAAACATTCTATGTTGCTATTGGCAACACCTTTTCCACTACAGGCATTACACTTGCTCAGCACAGTGAGTGATGGAGAGTCTGACGGTGGGGGCTGAGCGATGTGTCCTGGATGTGTCCTGGGTTCATTCTGCATCTGATGGGTCATTATCTGACAAGGATCCACTTGTATGAAGTAAATATGCATAAAAGCTGCAGCCTTTTTCGCTGTGATAGAGGTGTGGTCTGCGGTCCCTTCAAGATAGAGTGTGGCTCCCTCGTGTGCTTTTTGACCGGCTACTTTTCCAATGCTATGTATTTTTTAGTAATAGTGATCATTATTCATTTTTCCATTGGGTAAAAATCTACTCTGAATTTTGGAATTGATAATAATCGTTTCTTTCGAATAAATAGCCTACTTTTATTTGGACTTTCAAACTTTTGTAGCTATGTGTTATTCTCTGGATGCTCGATGAAGTCCGAAAAAACAAGCAGAACAGAAGTTGTGTTCAGAATATAACTAGGCTATAACATCTATAACAGTGCCGAGTAGATGACATCAAAAGAGCCGCCGTGTGTGAACGTGCCCTTCACAGATGCAAACGTGCCCTTCACAGATGCAAGCGATCGACCTGCACGGTGAAGACAATGAATAGAATAGAATAAACATTCTGTAAATGCCTGAAATATGGGGATGATGTTTATAGGAAATGCACAGCCAAGGTGCTGGATGTTTCCCGAAGTGTGCTGGAGCAATATGTAGCAGAAATAATCACAAAATCACTGCATTGTTATAGTGGGTAAATTTTACCCACTATGGCGGTTATAGGTATACAATGAACCCTGGCGGTTCTAGTGTTAAATAATACCTTAACCACATCCTCCTCCTATTACTGCAGCACAGCCACCGATCAGGGACCGACAGGAGTGAAACCTCACCACATGATAGCCTCATTCTGGGACTAATTCTGCAACACCTACAGCCAGCCAGGAGAGGTGACAGCATTGCTCTCCTACCACCCAAGTCTTGACAGCCATGACTCAGGAAGGCCCTCTGCTACGGCTCAGATCAGGGATCAACTCGCTGCTCAATGGCTAGATCTCATCACACAAAGAGCTGGGGGCCTTTCTATTGAGGTAATTCTCCGACTCCCTCTGCAGCACAGGTTCTATAATTCAAGTGTGAGCCGTTTTAGTTCTGCACTCGTTTTGTCGAGTCAAGTGGCAGTCATGTCTGATTAAAACTGAGTGGAACTGGTTTATGTAAATGAGGCTCTCGCATAACATTCCTCAAGATTACTTGTGTGTGCATGTGTGTTTGTATAGAGCAAGTCACCTGATTTTAAAAGTACGTGGTGTTTGTAGGCAGTGTCACAATACCCCTCAGTATGTGTTGCCTTTATTGTGGTGTTTTCTCCTACCAGGGCTCAGTTTTATGCTCTTTCTGAAAAGGCATAATTTCTGGGAGCACTGTATTCGATATTGAAACATTTATTAGGATACCTGGGTTCTCACCTTTGCTAATGAATTATTTACTACCGCTTAATGGTCTCCAGTTTTCTCCCAAGATTGCTCAATGAGGATTTTTTTCTTTTTTTGTGGGGGTGGGGGTTAGAAGAGCCACATTTCAATGAAAAATCTATTTTCCTCCAAGTTCTGTAAGAGAAAGGGAGAACTATAATGAAAGAAGGCATCCTGCTAACAATGCTAGTTTAAATCAGCTGTACGGTTTTGCTGCACTGAGTCGGTCATGTCATTATGCATTTGCCTCCACAGTCTAACTCAATCTTGATTTTTTCTTTGCAGTATCCCTCACTGCGTAGTAGCACATGGATTTCAAGACTTCAAATGAAGAGGTTGGTGGGATTCAAATCAATTCACATTTTGACAGTGAATTGACTATGATTATAGAAACAGTCTTGGCATTTTAAAGTGCCTGAAAGCATGCGGCTACCAAAGCGGGATAGGACGTAAATCTGGGTCCCATTCATATGCACCCTCAGTGGGCCCCCACACCCTTTTAATACATACATTGTTACACCTGTACAAATAACTGGATCTACTAGGCCTAATGCCTAATATTGTTTCAGATGCAAGAAATGATCTGTCCTATGTTTTAGTCAGCCAACAGTAGTATACTTATATTGTTAATAATGTGAAATTTCAAAATTGCATATAAAAACAAACTTTTGATATCTGTGTTTTTGAGAGCCCTCTCCATGTTGGGTCCCTGGGTACTTAGTTCTACGCCTCCCCTCACTACTACAAACCTGAGGCCATTCAAACGGTGTGCACTGTTTTTCTATGGTTTCCGGGTTGAATGGAATGTTTCTAGAAATGGTGTGAAACAGTGGGCAATAGGCTTTGAGGGCTCTCGTTGGGCAGGTGTGTCATAGGTGTTACCCAATCAGCAGCAATGTGTATATAAATGCAGCTGTATTAAAAAGCTGCTGTATTAAAAAGGCAGTGCGCTTGCGTAACACAACAGGGTGTTCAACGCACCACCGTTTCTGTTTAAATAAATGTTTTGCTACATTTTGTCAGGGCTGAACGTCGGTTAGAAAGACTTGTTGCAGATCTGGTGTTATCTGCATATATAAATAGTCAGATCAGTGAAGACGTAGATAATAACAGAGGGGTGTTTGGATGGGATAGCAACAGAGCAGCATAAAGCAGGGTCAGAAATAAGTCTAATTATTTACAATGCAAGCCATGCAACAGGTCAATGCTCAACCACGTGAGAGGCTGTCTGACCCAGCTATGCACAGCTATGGCACTACTGCCCTCATTTTGCTCGGTTAATGACTCTCTCGCACACATTAGTTCATATAATGTGAATTAATGACTCCTTCATTTCATTTCTCAAGCTGCAGTTGCAGCTGCAGGCATGGGCTCATTTCTTCACATTCCTCATTACGGGTGAAAGATAATATGCTCCATAAACTGACTTTGATTCAAGTTTGACCTGCAGTTGAGATACTCTCTCTAAGAATAGCAGCCATGCAGCCGACTGTCTTGTTAACTGATGAGCGGCACATCCCAGGTGACAAGGATGCTGACACGGGTGGCTTTTTTCTTTTAGCAGTCTTGTCAGGTGAAGGTGCTTCTTTTATTTAGACCTTTTTAAGTCAAGGACAGGGCAGGCATCACAATTAGCCAGGGAGGGGGAAGGATATGCAGAATGCTAATTTATGCGGATTAGCATGTTTTAAATGGATCATTGGAAACAGACACAGTCCTCACACAAGAAAATGTTAATGTAGAGGGTGAGCTTGGTTCCAGCCACTTAATTTCACAGGTTCTTAATTTGTCATCATCATCAGCTTTACACTTAGAGTAAATGAGATGATACAATATGAAGTTTTTTGTGTACAAAGCAAACAGAGGGCACAGAGTGTTATCACCACTCTTAAAAATCTGCATCTTAGAGAGTCTACTCATTATTTGAAACCTCAAATCAAAAGTGGTATTGTGTGTTTTTTTGTCTAAATGTGTGTTTATTACTCACAGCGCTGAATATGGTTATTTGTTCCATAATTAGCATTAACAAGGAAAGTAGTCAAAAAAGAAAAACACTCTAATTTCCATGTTCATCCTGCCACGAGTATTCTCAATGACATTTCATTTCATGGCCATTTAATTTAGTCACAGAGGGATGATGAATGATTTTATCTTTCTGACTATTCACAGACAAAGACTGGGATTTATTTGATGCAAGAAGGTAATGAGGAGCCATTTAATATTCGACTACACTTGGCCAAAGATATTCTGACCATTCAAGAACAAGATGTCATCTGTGTGTCAGGAGAGCCTTTTTATTCAAGTGTAAGTAACTCACAGTTATTGAATGCTGACATGCCACGCTTTACATGCTCATACATTGAAATCAGTAACATGTACTGCACAATAAATGAAAGTTACAGCACTGACATACTGAGTCTTGGTCTGCGTTAATGACAAATCTACATCAGTTAATCTATTCCTCATAAATCAGATGTAGCTATTAAGTAGTGATTCAGCTACTGGATCATGGTGTATAGAGTATAATCTTTAGGCTACACTTGTCATTATGTCTAACAACTTTTTCTTCACGTTAATAAATTCATTTTCCCATTTAAAAAAAAAAAAAAAAAAAAAAAAAAAAATCCATTGAGGCCAGAGTCCTCGACCTTTCTCAAAAAGGAATTATTCATTCAATATCATTCTGCTGGATAAAAAATTTGAAAGACAAATGGAGGAAGAGCTTGTGCCCTCTGAAACACGATTACTAATTAATGGAAAGGTCGAAGGCATGGATATGCTAATACAACCTTAGAATGCTAATACAACCGCACATAGATTTGGATGGGCTTAAATAATGTTGGAGGCAATGCTTTGTTTTGGCAGTGCAATTGAGCGACTGATAACGTCGATGTTCTGTATAGCTGGGGCTAGGTGATATGGCCGAAATTATTATTATGAAATACATTTTCCAGTTTCAGGATATTGCAAATGTGTGCAAAATCACATCCTCATTCATCAAACTTATATCTAAAGCAATTAACTGAGTTACATGTGTGAAACAAAAATGTGGATATTTTGGAAAGTACACTTACTCAACAATAAGTAGGTGAGGTCAGTAATAAAATGGACCTAGGAGGCGATTAAGCTAGCTTAGCATAAAGACTGGAAGCAGAAGGAAACAGCTTGCCTAGTTAAAAAATACACTTCCCAGCAGCCCATTCACAATTTATATCTTGTTTATTTAATCAGTACACAAACAGGAATTTGTGAGCTTTAAAGGTGCTGGTACACAGATTTTTCACTTGTTTACAGAGCCAGGCTAGCCGTTTCCTCTGTTTATGCTGAGCTAAGCTAATCATATTTAATGCTTTGACAGGACAGCGGTTTCTTTTCATGTTACTCATGCCAAGAAACTAAATAAGCGTACCTCTAAAAATGTCTATTTCTTTAATAATTCATGTATGCAAATGTTGCCCACAATCATTCATTTGTACAACAAACATTTACAGAAAGAGAAAATGATAGGCTTATATCATCACAATATGATTGCTCTAAGGGTCTAAAAATTATAATATTGAGTTATCACTGCTTGCTATGTATAAGCTATGTATATAAGAAAATGAGCTACATTGGTGCTTTTGATTGCACCTTACAGAAAGAGATGGGTTTGTACCTTCATTTTTGCAAGATATTATCTTGCATCATTTTAGCAACATGATCATTGTGTTATTATGATTAAATATTCTGACAAAAGCAACACTTTCCATTTGTTGTGTTGTAAGAGCTCCCACAATTTCAGCATCAGTCTGAACTCATTTCTTGGCTCTAACTGCATCTCTTCCAGGAGAGGACTGTAACGATCAGGAGGCAGACAATTGGAGGGTTTGGCCTGAGCATCAAGGTAATTTAGATCCCAACAGATAAGGCTGTTCCTCCCAACGTCTTTAAATTAAGTCTGAACAAGTGTTATTGATCATTTTCTTGTCAAAGTGTTATAACAGCGTTCGCTAGGGATTCACAGAAATTGGGTTGCTTTCAAGTGTCTTTGTCTTGTTCTGTGTTTGTACCTTTGTAATTGAATTTAATTTGTCTCCTCAGGGCGGAGCAGAGCATAAAATCCCTGTTGTAATATCAAAAATATCAAAAGAACAAAAAGGTATACAGTTGTTTTTGCAACTCCTCCCCTTTTTACTCCCCTAGTTTGTTTTTACTTATGTGATTTTTTTTTTGTTTCCAGCTGAACTTTCTGGCCTGCTTTTTATCGGAGACGGCATCCTTCAGGTAAAATGCCAAAACTCACATTAATGCCAGTTTACACATCTCATTCTTCTCTAAAATAACACACACACTGTATCTTTAATCATTCATGTGCCACAGAATAATTATGCATCCCTATAGGCAAATGTCACATCCCAAATCTCCCACATCTCATCCCTTTCGGCTCAAATGATACAGAGGAAACATTTACAAGCTGGCCAAAGATGTTCTGTATTCATGGCAACTGTGGATGTGACTCTCTTGTTTACAGTTTTCAGCACAGATGCCATAACAGTTATTGTACCTGCCTCATTAATCATTTCAAAGATAGAGCACCAGTGATAGGATGCCAGCAGTTTTATTTAGGGTAACTCTGTTACTTTTGTTTCTAGATAAATGGAATAAACGTTAGAAGTTATCGCCACGAGGAAGTGGTAAGCTGTCAACTCATATCTCATATTTCCTTATACTCCAACAGCTCTTTCACCAGCTTATCTTGTGTCACTTTATGATTTGTATCTTTTTGACATGTAAAGCCAGTTTCATCCTTTTCAAATGTAACAGCAAGACATATGTGTGTAAGGAGCATAACCTCTGCGTCTGTGTAAAACTCCTATGTTGGCTTTCCATTCATAGTTAGATATTAGCACACCATGTTTCATCACAGCAAGCAGCCAGCAGAAAACCTCACAGTTTACAGCTCCTGCAATAAAAATAAAATCTCACATTTTTTTACCTCCCAGGTCCAGGTTTTGAGAAATGCTGGTGAAGAAGTGACTCTTACAGTCTCCTTCCTAAAGAAGACTCCAGCCTTTTTGAAACTGCCCCTGTGTGAGGACTGCACATGTAAGAAACCTCTCTCACACACTCTTAAAATGAAGTTTATAATCACCATAACTGCAGTGCAAAAATAATCAACTAAATCTATTTATAGTTAGTGTTATTTTCTGTCAAGGACTGGTTGTCCTGGTGACAACAAATGCGAGCCTGAAGAGCCACTTTGAGAAAAATAAAAAACAGAAATTCAATTGCTTAACTTTTTGGACTTGCTCATCTTGATAAGCACCAAATTAAAAAAACCTTCTTGCTAAAGAGAAGGGAGAAAAAGAGGAAAGGACATATATAAAGCTTCACAAACGATGCTAAAGACTGAACTGAGAGAATTGGCATTGCTCATTGTGGGCAACTGATAGCTTTTGCATGGGAAAGCTTTAGTGCGTCATCAGACATGAAAGCTTTTATAAAATCCTTTTTATACGCGTATATAGGCCAGGTTGACTGGCCATCCAGCCAGTCAACTGAATACAAATTGACACAGAACAGGAGCCTACAGTGGAGGAGAACAAAGTAACACACTTTTGTTGTGATTCACTGCAGGAAACCTTGAAATACATGTGGGTGTTGCTCTGAGTTTGGAGGGTTTATTGGCTTTTTTTGCATGTCCCTGCTGTACTTTCAGGCATCCCCAGCGACCAGAGTAGTGGGACATCCTCTCCTCTGTGTGATAGCGGCTTGCACTTGAACTACCATCCTAACAACACGGTACTTTTTTCATTAGCCTCTTCTTTGACTGATTGATTCCCTACCTTTCCCTTTGCAAGTATGCGGCAGCATTCCCAGTGCCAGAAAGTTGTTTCCATGCAACCGTCGCTGCTCACTGATAACCGGGATGCTCTATCTTTATCTTTTGAGGAGACTGAATCAGCTTTCTTGCGCTCGCTCGGCCTGCCTGTGCACCTGCAGCAACAACAGCAGCAGCAGCGGCAGGACTGAAGCTCTTGACATGCCAACTGTTTGAAATGTGCGAGGTGGGAAACGACAAGCTGTTCTAAATTGCGTTTCACACTTCTGCAGGACACGCTGTCCTGCTCGTCCTGGCCCACGTCCCCGGGGCTTCGCTGGGAGAAGAGATGGGTAGATCTGCGCCTTATTCCACTGCTCCACTCACGCCTGTCGCAGTACATCCCGGGCTCTGACGTCTGCAGGTGAGCTGCGGAACTTCATCTTGAAGGGTCAGAGCTGGTATCTCCCTGTAAAGCTCTACAGGACAGTAGTGCTATGATCTCTTTCTTCTTAAATGCTTCAGGGTTTTCAACGCCATCCTGTAAAAGTCACATTTTTTAAGCTATTTAGTCTATGCCTTTAAACACAAATAAGTAAAACAGTTTTGTGCATCTGTTTTAGGACACACCTACTAAATAGTGGATGCTTGGCGTGATAAACCGTTAAGCTGTCAATAAACACATTTCCATATTGCTACATTGGAAAATAACATAATGCAAGTAACTTTCCAGTCTTTGCAAGTTATTTATCATTCCCTACTGATATCTATTGAAACTAATGGCTTCCTTGAGCGTAGTAAATCAATCACAAGTGTTATGGTCTGTATGTAATTTGTAGTTCATAGGCTGAAAAAATGGAAAAGCATCCCATGATCTTTTGTTTTCTCACTTCTTTCAGGAAAAATGCTTTCCAGGTCATAGCCGTGGATGGAGTTTGCAGTGGGGTTGTACAGTTTCCCACAGCGGAAGACTGCTTGGAGTGGCTTCAGGCAATAGCGAACAACATTTCCAGTCTCACCAAGCACAATGTGAGCGTGAAACAATAACACCTGTTAGCTTTGCTGCCTGTCGCATTCCCCCCTGTATAAACCAATAAGAAGCTGGGTTGGGGGTTAATGCAACAGGATTTCAATTTGTGTATTGTCTAACAGTACCTTTGAAAATGAAATGTCACGGCATTAGGTAGACACATACTGATGTCTTGTTGCTCGATGAGTAAAGTATACACTTATTTCTAAGAGCCTCAGGACAAAATAACAGCAATTGCATTGCACTACTGTAATATATATAATTCACTATAACACATTATACAATGATAGCAAGAGGCAGCAAGAAACCAAGAAATAACAATGCTGTATTCTTATTGTGAGCATGTTTCTGTGTTTCCAGATGGGTGATGATGCTCATCAGGGAAGTCAAATACAAACACTGCTAACAGGCTCCATCACGTGTGGTGGATCATGCAAAACCTGACAGAAAGTGTCCCGTTTTGACACATATATCAACATATTTAGGTGACATTTCTAGAGAGCCTTTAAAGCCATATCTAGACAGAAGTATTGGCTCTTCACATGACATGAATACGACATGGAGGAAACAGCAGTGAAAAACAGGGGTTTGTAATTATCATGTGTCCACTGGTGTGTGTGTGTGTGTGTGTGTGTGAGAAAGAGAAAGAGTGAGAGAAGGGGGGGGGGGTAATCTCTGGGGAATAATGGAGCCCTGGTTAATTGGAGTGAACTAAGTGAGGGACTAAACATAACACTGATCACTCACTGCCAGAATGGCCTCAATAATCGAGAGTATATTTCTCACTCTGGCCTTGGCATTTTGTGTGAGTGAGCTAGTAACCTATATGGAATCAGGGACTAAATTCTAACATGTTTTTTAAAAATACTTTGTGTTTAATTGTGTTTATGTGTTTTCTGTTTTTATTTCAGCACTGCACAAACAATTGTACTTTAGGGGCAAATAAAGCGGTTTATTTATTGATTTATCAGGCTGAGGATCAGCCAAAAGCCCCACAAAGACCTTAAAAACAATAAAGCTAGAGAATGTATATAAGGGGTTGTGTAATCAAAGTTCCATCTGTTTTTTAAAACTCAAAATAAATAGTAATAGATAGAACTTTCAGTCAAAATCCATGGGCTCTACTTATTAAACAGGAAACCTTGCAAATGAGATGTACAAGTTGACAAAAAATAGCACAAACACCTAAAAATATATGAACATCAAGGACCTCATGAAGAGTAGGTTCAACCTTTGCTTGCAGAGCTTCTTCAGTATTTCTTGGAAAACTGACAATTGAACTGAGCTGTTTGTAATCAGATATTGCACCATTCGTAATGAATAACGCCTCCAGTTCTGTGAGTGATGATGGAAGACGGAATCCACTCTGCTATCTACAATATAAATGGTATATATATGTGTATATGTATATATATATATATATATATATGAGTATGTGTAGATAGAGAGAGATAGATATAGATGTAGATATGATAAAACAGCATTGGAGTTGCTGTTATAATGTTATATGATGTTATAAATGCTAGTATAAGCAATGAAAAAAGCAATGAACAGAGTACAGTACTGTACTCTGGAATAAAACACAATGTTTCTATGAAATGCTGTGGATTAGAAATATAAAATCTCTCAAAACAGACATACCACAGTCAAATACCAGCAGCTAATTCTACTTAAGTACCTCACTTATAAAATAAGTGTTCCTAGTTAATTTAGGTAGATTTTGAAATTTCTCCTGTATATATTTTTGGAGAGAGTAAGAGATTTATGATTTGTTGTATAACTTGAGGAACTGGAGCCCCACAGCCTTTTTCCTGATTTGTGTCAGAGGTGCATTAGACCTGCAGTCACTGTGACTGGCCACAACAACCCACAGCTGAATCTGAACAAACCCGCTGTCACTGGTCCCATATATCCAAACCCAGCTCACATTTTGACAGTTATCTGGCTTGTTTCCTTTCCGTCCCCTCCACTGAAAAAAAAGCACATCTTGTTTCCTCCCTCAGCAGAAACTTTAGAAACATTTCAAAACATGCAGTTCTTCTCACCTCTGTAGAAGGACGGGATCAAGTCTGGATGGCTTAATTTGGCGTTCTGCTGCTAAGAAAGAGTTATATTGATAGTATAGTGTGAATTAGGAGCGAGTGATACCTGTGATGTGTGCAGAATGTTTTAATTTAAAGCCTGACTGCTCTCTCAGTAGTTTCCCCCGCTTTTATTATCACAGACAGAATGGATTTTTTTTAATGGATTTTTTTAGAAGAGCCTCAGGTCCTTGTGGAAATGACTCTATCTATCTCATTTTGTAATTTGCATGCATTGAATAAATGAAGTAGCTCTAACACTGTTCCTTCAGTGCTGTGGTTAACATGTTAGCGCGGATTCTGTGATTCATAGTTTATTTGTTCTTAGATGGATTGTCACTGATTAAGGGTCCGTACAGGGGCCCACGACTATTTTGAATTCTACCAGTAATTAGTGTCTGACTGTTAGCAGGAGATATTTTAACGAGTTATTGATGTTCCTGTTCAATTTAACAGGTGAAGAAGATTAACCGAAATTTTCCAGTTAACCAGCAGGTAAGATGTTTCTGCACGCAGCAGCTGAGCGCCCGCTGCTTGTTTGGATTTTCTTCTTGCTTTGACTGACTTTAATTTGGGTATTTTATCCTTATCTTAAAAGTCTAGAAGTAAATCTAACCAGGTCAGTCAGTCAGAGTAAGGACGCAGCTCCGTCTTGCCAGCTATTGCAACGCAAGGAGAGTGTTTGCATCATTAAAGTCCAGCCACTGAGAAATGATCAGAAAGCAACTTAAGTGCCTTCAGTCAGTCGACCCACAGCGTTATCTTTAAATCTACACATGGGGAGTAAGTGTGACGGTGGGGTTCCTTTTTTGTTACTTATTTTTTGTGGTTCCTGCCTCACAAAAAAACACCACATGAATTCACTTGACAATTCATTCAAGAAATTAAATAGCATGAGACACGACTGGTTGTCCCGAATCTTTCACTGGCTTGTTTTGCCATCCATCAAAACACTCCCAAAAGAAAAAAATGCAAGCAAACATTTTACTTGTGTTGCAATCACTCTGACTTTAATGAGTACTGATGGTGAGATACACTTTATGTCTAAAATCATGTCTCAGAACATTTGCAGTAGACACTTTGTCTTCTTTCTCTATGTCTCCCTGTTGGTCTGACCTATTTTTTTCCCCTACTGAATACTTTTTGAATTTCATACCTTTTGGCTTCATGTAGTGGTCTGCAATATGACGATACATACTGTTGATATCATATAGGCTACATCCAAAGGACCTCAATTTGCATTAAAGCATTGTGGCGTGACATTTTGAAATGATTTTTGAATTATTGTGATAATGTTCCTTGATTTCAGGTATTTAATCTGCTGGATAAACCAAGAATAGGCATACCTGTAGGGTTAATCTTTAAAGCCCCAAAGAACTTGGTCCAAATCGCAAGTATTTCTCAATAAAATGTAATGATCATGACTAAATAAGCAACAATCTCCAAAAAACATCCCTAGGTACTATTTTATAAAAGTTTAATACTATTAATACTATGCTGGTGGGGTTTGATCAAATGTGATTGACCTTGCAAAGTCAGCAAGCAACCCCACAACTGCCATCACTTTTTCTAACTGAGCACTGCACATAAACACATTGGATGGAAGGATACAATATACATAGTCTACTTCCAAAAAATTTTTTATTACCAGTAAATTAATTACAAAACATTTAGTTTTTCTTTTTACTTTAGATATAGATCTGGTGGCCCAATATGAAAACTGTTATAACTTTGGCAGAACATGTTGTGTTTAGTGATACCCTGTCCTGATGCTCATAGTAAGAAACTGATTGAGAGATACAATTTCTCAGTTGATTTTTTGAGAAACCTTACGACATTGTAAAATAAAGTAGGGGTTGACAATGTGGACAAAACGAAATGTACATTTAAATTTTTTCCACATCGTCCACCCCTACTTTTTCTAGGATCCTCATTATTACATGCCACATCCCTCATGTCCATATTTGTATGTTACTTTTTCACTGTTTGATAGATTATCTACATGGGCTGGGTTGATGAGAAAGAGCAGGACTCCGTTCAGGACCGAATGTATTCACCAAAGTTCCTCGCTTTGAGGGGTTCCTCCCTCTTCAAGTTTTCAGCACCTCCTGTAAGTTTTCACGTGGTCCTTATAACAACTTTTTAAACCACCAAACTTCTGTGTTTGAACTGATGTCATTCAACTCCACAGGAGATTTTTCATATGATGTTAATGTATTGTTGAGAGAGAAAGTGCTTTCCTGTTAGGAAAAAAAGGAAGCAGCTCGCTCATAATAATTTGTGCTGTATTGATCTTCCTCTTGATTGATGAGGATCATTAAATCTGTTTACATTCTGCTAGCCACTTAAGTGATTATGACAAGAGGGATAAGCTGTCGATGGTACTGGAGATGGGAAAAGATTGATAGATAACTGAAATTGCCCGCTCAACTTGAATATGCTGATATAAATGGAATATGCTAATGTGAGTGGATGGTGGAATATAGGAGCCTGTGTATTCAGACGATGTGACAAGCTTCTTCATTACTTACTTAGTTACTTACCCCTCAAGTGACAATATGACTGTTTTGAATTCAACAACCGTTCATCTATAACTGACCATTTAAAACTCCCCCCTGAACAGTTATTGTCCAATCATAGCTTAGCTACCATAACTAGAAATGGCAGGCCTGTCCACCTTTGGATTTTTCCACATGCTGAAGCTGTGTGCATGGGGCTGTAGCAAGAGCAATATTATTTAATAATATAAAGAGTATGGAGGATGGTGTCTTTTTATTGATTTCCAAAATCAAAAACACAAGAGCCAAGTTGTGAAGGCTAGCTTCCAGCCAGCGTTAGAAGTAAAATAGCTTTCCTTCCAAAGGAAAGGTTACATGTCTTTAGCTAACTTATTATGGGATTAGGCTACAGGTTTACAAAAATACCAAGTCCTTGTGTGGCAGCCAAGGTGCCAGTATAGGCTATCATAGTTAGGGTTATAAAAGCAGCTCTGTCCTGCTCTTTATTTGGTTTGGGGAAGTTTACACACCAGCAACTCCAGCCAAACTTGGGTTAGATATTCATTTGCCAACCACAGTGCTCATTCCTCATCTCCAAATCCTTTTTTCTTAAAAGCATGTTGCTCATTGAAGTTGTTTTTCTATAGCAAGCATCCACACCATCTAAGCCTTATGTTAGAATAAATAACATTTTTATTGTATTGTATAGTATTTTTAATATTAGGACTATAACTCTACCCTGCAACACACAGTTGGTTTCTAGTGTCATAGCTATGTAGATCTCTCAGATTTCTTTCTTACGCTGGATAACTACAGCTGGTAACAGCTGCCAGTTGACATTTTAGCTGACAAATTTCAGGTTGTAAATCTGCCAGTGTTATGACTGTAAACATGGACAGCTTGACTGGCATAGCAACAGTAACTAAGATTGGTGGTGGATTGAACAAACAGTCAATTGTAATTTTATTTTATAGTATTTCCAAATGAGTCGACTGTACAAACACATGCAGCAGATTTACTTTTAGGGAAAGTTCTTCTGCTTTCTTTCCCGTTAATAGTTTAATCAAACAAAATGGTGCCATTTTTCAGGTGACAACATGGGACTGGACCAGAGCAGAGAAAAGCTTTACTGTGTATGAGATAATGTGCAAGATTTTAAAGGTAAGGCAGTCTTTTCTATTTAATTTCCTCAACATTTAGACGCAAAATAAAAGGAGAAAATTGAGGAATGCACTCATATAACTCACTGATTTATTTGCATGTGTTCCTCTTCAGTGCCCATAGAGACACTCGGGGCTCAGATTGTATTGTTTCTCTCTGCAGGTTCGAGGTCATTGAATTTGATTTTTCTGCAATTCATCATCTCAAAAGTCATTATGGGAAATTGAATTCATATAGATTCACATATTAAATCAGATATAAGTTGACCTACACTGCCATACCTATTACACTGTGTCACTTGGGTTACATAAAGCAATAAAATGATACATTACTGTAAAAGATCGTGTGGTTCAGCTTGCATATACTGTATATGCAGGATATAGACCAAAAGACTTCAAGTGCTCTGTGTGCTGTCTTTACTCTGTCGTCAGAGTAACTTCACCTCCCTTTAGCTTCAGGAAACTGCATTGCTGTTGCTTTGTCTTATCTCCACGTCACTCTGTACCTGATCAGCATGGCAGCCGTACTGTCTTATCTTAGGATAATGACCTTCTGGACAAGAGGAAGCATTGCTTCAGCGTCCAGACGGAGAGCGGGGAGGACATGTTCTTCAGCGTGGAACTGGAGTGCGAGCTGCTGATCTGGGAAAAGGCTTTTCAGATGGCTACTTTCCTGGAGGTGGAGAGGATACAGGTCCGCACCTGAACAGTAGGCAACGTGCAGGGCATTGTGATGATTTTAATCTAGCACATGGTTCCAGCTCAGTTGGTTTAGTACAAAGATTGATAATGCTCATATGACATTTTCAGCAGAGCAAAAACAGCTTTTGTGTCCTTGTGTAGCCCTTGTGGGTAACATCTTGTTCTCCTATTCTGTAGTGTAAAACATATGCCTGTATCATGGAGAGCCACCTTATGGGACTAACAGTTGACTTCAGCATGGGCTTTGTGTGCTTTGATGCAGCTTCAAAGGTGAGTGTGGGACAGTCTGTTATGATCAATAAAAATATGCAAAAGAGATCCTTTCAGTGGGAGATTTCAGACAACTGTATTGTACACCATGAGATGAAACTAATCACGATGCCACAGCCCTCCCCCCTTTCTTTTTTCTAGAGCTGCTAACTTATTCTGCACTGTGTGCATTTTGGGAGCATGAGCACATTTGTTTTGACGGCTGGTTCCCCCCAGCTCAAACCTCTCACTCCTGCCTACAGTTCATTTTGGCCTTTCCCCAAGTCTAAGAGCCATGCAGACTACTCCACTGGTGCATATTATGTGGATGAGCAGGACACAAGCGCTGCCATATTGTTCTCTAAGATTTTGGCCCTAATTCCTGCAATCTGAAGCAACAATGTCCCCCAAGGATGCTAAAAATGTTGCCAGCGTATTGTTTACAGAGAGAAATGCACAAAACACAATCCATATGTACACTGCAATCACAGACAATACACTGGGTGGGATTTCTCTGTAATTAAAAGCTGCTATTGGCAAATTTCAAAAACCATGTTAGAATTAGTTTCAATCAGAAACAGCACAAATATAACTCTTACAGCTCAACTTGTTGAACAGTTGAGCTGTAATCTGCTGGCTCAGGATCCAGTGAGATGTTCCACCATGGCTCTAGTGTGTTTTTTTTTATTTTATTTTATCAAAAGCAGCATTTAAAAAAAAACTTAATTGGAACATATCCAGTAGAACAAGGATGACAGTACCAAGACATATATTGAACCTGCCAGCTGGCTGAGCCCTTTCTGCATGGAGTTTGCATGTTCTTGCCATGCCTATGGTTTCCTCCGACAGTCCAAAGACATGTGGATAATGGTTAACTGGTCACTGAATTGCTGTAGGTGTAGATTGGTGGCCTGTCCAAGACCCTGTAGCACCAGCTGTATGTATGTTCAAATTTAGCCTAGTTGTAACGTAATTACTACTAACTTAAGTTAAATAAAAACATAGTTTTTATTAAAAATAATTACATGCCATTTTGCAACACAGTAATCCAGTACAGAATTTATTGATTTTATGATAATGCCAGCCAGAAAGTGCTGGCATGAGCCACTTGGCATCGTATGTGCATGGTAACAAAGATGCTGGAACTAAGTCATTGATTGTTGATCGGCCACTTGCCTTACTTATGACTTTACATCAAAACTAGTTAGATTGTGACCCAAGTAATTGTGGTGCAACCCATTTTAGTAGCTGATTTAGTTACAAACTAACTAGTAGTTACTAAGCCTCTAGTGTTGACTTTAGGCTCCAGCTTACCTGCAACCCTGCTCAGTTTAAATGGGTATAGATATAATGTGGAAATGGATAAAGACGTAGAATATGTAAAGCACAATATATTTATATATCAAATGATGGTTTTACACAGAGCAAGCGAGCCACTTAGAAGAGACTAGGGGCTCTGACACCTCTGAGACTTTAGAGCGAAATGTTAAATAATAGGCTAAAAAGGAAGGTCCTTTGTGATTCTTATATGCTAGCACGAGTGAATGGCAGTCATCCCATGCTGTAAACTGCACTATTGCAATGGTGTAAGAAGTATTCTGATCCTCTACTCAAGTGAAAGTGGCAATACTACAGTAGAAAAGGACTCTATGCACTTCAACTAAAGCTTCAATTTTGGTTGAGGGCTATTTGTCTTAATCAAAATCAAACCTTGAATCGGATTTGATATCAAAAGGCAACTCATGCACTGTAGTACTGTAGTGTACACAATCAAAATAATCCATTGTCCATTCAGATATTTTGACATTTTGCAAACAAAGAACAAACAAACCACGACTCCAGCTGCTTCTTTTGCTCAGCTAAAACACCACAGGCCCACCCAGGTGCATGTTGGGTAATTTAATCTATAACAATGTATCAATAGGTTTTAAAAAGTCATTATAATTGTTTATTTATGTGAAAATACTAATCTGTAAAGGAACATAATGTAAAATGTAGTGGGCTACAATATTTCCATGTAAAAAGTAATAAAGTAGACATATAAGATAACATGGCTCCTAATGTAGTTATTTACATGCCACCGCTGCATTATAGCACAACAATAAGGTAACTTTGACAAAAATAAAACTGAGCATTGCAGACGCTGAGTCTCATGAGAATGTTACCTAACGAGGAAACAGAATTAACACAGAATGTTTTCCATGTAGGTCACAATACAGATATAATATTAAGTGCTTGTGATTGACATGAGGGAGCTGGTGATATCATCTCCTCTGTCACGGTGAGCAGAGTCAGATTGGCTTTTAGAGGAAAGTTGGAAAGGTGACTCTCTGCCCGTTACACTCATGAATATCTGCTCTGATTTAAGAAGAATCCAAGTTAAAACATGTCACAGTGAGATTTCTTGTGGGTGACATGTTAAACATTATTTCTCATGCCATAATTAATCCGAGTGGTGTTACAGTAATTATTACAGCGGCAGGAACAGTAAGCACAGCATTGCAGTATATGTACTGATACATATTCATGTGAAAAGTGTGGCCAGCTGTCTACCTGAGGAGTCTGTCTGGAAACTGACTGTTGTCTGGCTCACTGTGCAGCTTTTGTTTATTCAGTTCAACACTAATTGAATCACTGAAGCTCTGCTATTTCAGGTGAAATTGCTGTGGCTTGTTAAATTTCCCAATGGCAAAAATAACAAGTTTATATCTCACAACGACTGGTATCTGGTTGATCTGCTGACGTGTCCCATTTCTCACCAGATCCATGTGGATTTTAACATGAATTATTCAGGAAATAGTGACGAAGAAGGAATTCACAAATTAGATTGCAGTAAATAAAGATTTCTATTTGTATTTTAGTGGTTTAAAGTTTAAATTTAGACTCATATAATCTGGCATTTCTACATTTCAGGTAGTACTGTGGAGATACAAGTTCTCCCAACTAAAAGGATCATCTGATGATGGAAAAAGCAAGATCAAGTTCTTGTTCCAAAATCAGGACTCCAAATCTATTGAAGCAAAGGTAATTCACTTTGAAAGATATGTTTTGTTGTATGTCAAGGAAAAAGGTTATTCAACAAGAATTTCAAAGCAACAAGGTAATAGAAAATGAATTGCTTACATATGACTTGGGTATTGATTATTTTTTTTTCTCTCTCTTTCAGGAGCTGGAGTTCTCAAACCTCTTTGCGGTGCTTCACTGTATTCATGCTTTTTTTGCTGCCAAAGTTGCTTGCCTGGACCCGATGTTTGTGGAGAGCCAAGGCAACGCGACTACCACTGGGTTTCCCTCTCTTTCCAGTATCTCATGTAATTCACAGACACCGAAACTCAAATATGCCACTTGACAGGCACTGCCCTCCCCAGACCCCATCTAGAAGGACTCTGCACTTTGTAAAATGGTGGCCAGGACAACTTGAAAATGCTCGAATTATGGCATTATGGAGGGCAGCTCTATACAGTGATTAAATAAAAGTCCTCCTTGGGAGTGATATACTTGATACCTTGGAAGACCATTCGGGGGGATTTCTGGAATAACTGTGGACCTAAACATGAACCTCTACTTTCAGAAACATCCCAAAAAGACTACATGGACACAAAATGTGTGATTAAAAAATGTTTTTCAGTGAATGTGTTCTTCTTTTGTTCCTCAGACATGCTTATAATCAACACATCACAAAGAAAAATGCAGTGCTTTTCCCCCAAGGTTCTAATTTTATTCAAGATTTGAAGAGTTAAATCAAAACAGATTTTTAGTCTTTTTGTTCCACATCAGACAGTACATCACTTGAATTTCTGCAAGGATTTGTCAGGACACTGGATATTATGATAATATGATAGTATGAAGACGCTTTCTATTTTATGTATTATTATTTACCTACATTTATACTTCAATTAGTAGTTTTAATTAGATTTTCCACTGGAGTGTGTTAGATTCTGACCAAAAGCTAAATGGCAAAATCAATTTGATTCTGAATCAAAATTTTGACTAAACTTAATTACACAGACGTTTGCTGGCAGCATTGCTGGGTGAAAGGACTCCTTTAGATGGGTTTGTGTATGGATATACTGAATGACCTCATTTATTTCTCTCTGTATATGACACAGACCCACAGGTTGAGGTCAGAATATAACTATTTCCTGGATAAGTGTATCCATTAAACGCTGTATGAAAGTGTAGTTTTTATTGTATGAATGAAGAATGACACCAATAATAAACAGTTTCACCATCCACACAACCTTAATCTGACAATACCACTCTAAACATGATTAGAAACACTTCATCATAGGATTTTGTTTTCTCCAAAAGTTGATTCTGTAAATAAACACTGATATTCAAATGAACTCAAAGAATTATGAATTATCGCAATTACTTGAGGGATTACTAGTAGGGATTACAGCATTTATTAATTTGATGTGCACCAGAGACAACTAGATAGATAGCGCATAGCCTTGTGCTCTTTGCTCTATGGACCAATTCAGAAGAAAAAAATCAGCTATGGTGTATTTTTGGAATATTTTTGACTTCAACTTGTAAATATAATTTTTTTTAAAAACCCATTTCATTGACAATGAGAAAACACACCGCGAGGACAATAAAATTATGTAGCGTCATGGCCTCCAAAAGGTTTTGAGGATACCCCTTTAAACTTCATTCTATATTAAACTGTTTATAAATGCAGCAGAGGGACAACTAAACTATCATATTCAAAAAGAGTTCAGGTCAATTAGCGCAATTAGTCATGCTCTTACCTTCCATTTACAAAGTAGAAGAGGCCCATGGGTAAGTAAACTCTAGAGGATAGCAAATTAAATGGGGTCAGTAAAGTGCTTGGTACTGTGCGGGCTTGTTAAGCTGACATGAGTGTCTGAGGGAGAGTAATGGTGGTGCAGTCTATGCAAAGAAAGTGACTGATGCTTTTGTGCTTTAAAATGATCTTGGTTGCATACCCTTATAACAGGATGTAGAGAGTGAGGTTTATTTTGTTTTGTTTTTGCAGATGTTTTATTAACAAATATGCTGTGTAATAAATTAATAAATAAGACATTTTATAACATGGCTCACTTGTGGTTAGTTTTATTTTTCATGTGTGGGTATTCCACCGATTTTACATATGAAGTTCAGTGTACTGTCATGAAGAGTAATTCACATTTTAGATGTTATTAAAATATATTAAAGTGTGTGAAAATGTCCTCTGATTGCACTAAAAACTGTGCTGTGCTTTCTTACTTACATGGTGCTATTTTGTACATACTGATTTTGCATTTGTTGTATAAATGATTCGTAAGTATACAGCTTAAAATATACTTGACTACCCTTAAGGAACTAGTTTGACATTTTGAGAAATAAGCCTGTTCCCTTTCTTTCTCAGACCGACTGATAACACTGTCACATTTGAGAGTGGTATCGATCTTCTCATCTAACTCTCGCCAAGAAAGTGAACAAGCGCATTTCCCCAAGTATCGACGTGTAAGCAGTACAACTTCAAATATACTTGACTACACTTTGGAGCACTTGACTGTGCTATTTTGAGACACAATTACATAATAATTAAGTCTACTTAAATACACTTACTTTTTGTACTCAAAATAGACAAGAAATAAACCACTCGATATTTACATATTTAAATTATATTAAACATATCTTTTTATATTAACTGTGTATTAATAGTCCAAAAGATATACAGTATATCTGGTGCAGCCATAATAAAGACAATGCTGAGTTTGAATAATTAGATATGCAAAGAATATATGGCGATTTTAAAGACTTTGGAACAAGATGATTTGAGCAACCTTAACGCTGCATAAGGGGAAATTAAAGGGGAAAACTGTATGTTAAGTAAATTTTATAGGGATATTGTACTATAGATGTGTAACGCACACTCTTGGGTTTGATGTTCAGATAACAGCGTGTTTACTTATGTATGGCTGTTTCACTCTGCACCAAGCATGTAGATGTAACAGTAGGTTATTTGTTCATTGCTCTACCACAGCCTGCCACTAAATCTTGTAAATCTTCTTATAGCTGGATCAACACAAGCTTTAAGTTCAGTGAATTCCTAATCTGAAAGAGTAGCTTTACAATTTCATATTCTATTAATAGAAATATGTAGCGTCATAGCCTCCAACCAACAGCTTCTGTTTCCTTCAAAACATACATCTTGCACCCATGTTCCCTCTTGTTGCTCCTGCAGGCAAAGATCATAGGGATTTGTCAGACATCCAGTATATTTTAACCATATTTGTAATACTTACAGTTTGGGGTTTTATGTGCACATAAGGTCCTGTTTAAAAGTTATCTGTTGTGTCTGGTTATCGGATGAGCAAGTTTACTACATGAGCTGTGATTGAGGTTTATTTGTTCATTATTCTCAGTCATTAAATATTTAATTGATCAGCACACACTTTGTAACAGCCAATGCAGTATGTGCATCATCCATAAATGTCAGAGAAGCCAAAGATGAAACAGTAGAAGCAATCTCTCTCTCTCTGTTATCAATTCAAAGCAGTGGTGACAAAAACAACAAAAGGTCATCACAAGCTCAGCCAGGATGCCAGAGTGGCACTTTTACGACTGTTTTTCAAAATTCATTGTCATTTGACTCCTTGACCACGTCGGACATACTTAGGGGAACCAAATAAGATAATAAAAAGAGCAGTTACAATGATTAGAAGAGGCATAACGTGATTGTGACCTTTATTTTTGTGCCAAACACTTACGGAAAAACAACACATTTTCAAAATGAACTGCACACACTATGAGAAATCAACCTAGGCCTGATAAACAGCAACAGAACTGTTTTTTTTTATCTCTTGACAAATGAACTTAATATAAAAGCACAGAATTGGTTATGACTTGGTGATCACCGGGTGCCATTTTTGTATAGTCGACTCTCGTCCACATTAAATGTAATCACAGCAGTCCCATTAACTTTGGTGCAAGGCGTGACCTGAGAGTCGAGGTTGTAGGTCCCCTGCTTTCAATACTTAATGTGCTCTCTGATTAGCAATTACATTTTAGATAATGGTATATAAACTGTTGCATGCCTGTAATTGGTCATGTGGAATTTAATGGATACTACGCAAATCAAATGGGACTATGTTGTTATTGGTAATTATAAGATGAGAATTTATTCCATTATTGCTTACTTGCAAAGCTTTCCGATGAATGTATAAAACAAAAAAATAACCTTACGGAAAATAAATGTTACCTCTTCACACACAAAAACTACTAATAGAATAATCACCCCCTTTTTCAAACTAAATATTTTTCATTACACCAGAACAAAATGAAGACCTATATCACTAATATATCTTATCTATTTAACAGACAGCAGTGGAGATTTGATCTACAGAGTTCCCAGTGTCAAGATACAGTACAGCAAGAGGGCGCTACAACAAATCAAATGCAAATTAAACTGTATGCAGAATAATATAACAACAGATATATATCACTTTTATATTGAATAGAATTATTATCAACAACATTCAACTCAGCTTTTGGAATACTAAATTATGCATTCAAAGTAAGATGAACGAAATTTCCAAGTCTGTGACCATAAAGTAAAAAGTGTGACATCTATCAGTGATGCGTGGTTTCTTTTTTCCACTGTGGAATGTTTTTTTGTTGTTTTTTTTGTTGTAGAAATACACCATGGTTTGGGTTAATTTACTGTGCCAGAAAGCTCACAGACATCCTAATGTGATGGGGTACATTGGCACTTAAAAGCCATCACTATCAGGTAAGTTCTGCAAGCAAATTGTACTTTGATTAAACAGCAGTTACATTACGAGAAGTCCAGTCCTCAATACAAATTAAGCCAAAAAAATGGCACCTCTTTTTTTGTTTTTTGTTTTTTTTTTCCCCACTTGAGGACTGCAGAATAAGGTGCTTTGTTGGACAGTCCTACAGTCCAGGATACAAAAGGCTTCAAAATCCTCAGCAATTCTGATTTGCATTGTTGTGGATAAAAAACAAACTACTGTACAGAATTTTAGATTTGTCTCAAGGCCATCTAATTGATTAATATTATTTAAAAAAAAAAAAATTCTTTTGTCAAAACATTTCTGGACCTGATCACTTGGGACATCACCTCCAGTGACCACTCACAAGATGTGAAGCAAAGTCAGGAACACCCAACACATTTACGGTATATTCATGCATGTGCTCATTATTGACCAACAACTCCCCTTTACCAGTTCCCTCAAAAAGAAAAAAAAAAAAAAAAGAGCTGAAAATGTGTACCACCACTGAACACCCGTCATCAATTTTGTCATTATTTCAAACCTCTGATATGACTGATTAAACTAATATACTATTTGCATCAACAATGGAAAGCAAACCATGGAGAGGAGGGCCTACAACACCTTATCATATCAAGTAGGGTGTCAGCTACTTATGAGAAAACACAAGTATGTAAGCACCCTGTAGAAAAAGTTACGTTAAAAGGTGCCCTGTAGAAAATATTATGACCCAATCTAGTCTCTCAGTGATCTCTTTGTAATAGGAAGGTACAAAACGCTTTGACCGTAAACAAAATGTCAAGAAGAGTAATGACGTAAGTGTCCCGTTCATGATTATGCAAGAACGTCTTACTCTTGAACTCAAAATGGGAGTATGTGGCTTTATTTGCTTTTCAGTGTCTTTAGCTCATTTCAGCATCATTAAATCTCCAGATGCTGATAGTAAGTTAAAGCTTCTAAAAAAAGCCGCAATAAAAGTCTTCTTCTTAGCATGATCATATTTTAACAAATATAGTAAGAACTTTTTTTTTTTTATACAATTTTTAATCTGCACACTTCTGCAGAAATCCTGACATTGTGATAAAATCTGAATCTCAAAACGGGTTTCTGAAACAATGTCCATTTAGTATACTTTTTACATTGTTTTTTCTTTGATATACAAAATCAAAAGAAAACGTCAACAAAAACTAACAACTTGTGACAATCATAACATTATTATCCAATATTATCTATGACGTCTCTTTCCGTTACAGTTTTGCCATCAAGATTTCATGGAAATAATGCTACATTTGTACTGAAAAGGGTGAAGAAAAGCATTTCAGCTCCACCCGTTAAGAGCGGATATCGAGTGAATCAGTCATTTCTCTCTGTAATACAGCAAGTATGCTTTCAGTGACTCGGGCAGCGGTAAAGCCATTATTTGGTCTCTCAACACGTTCACTTGCTTGAGGATTTCAATGTCGCCAATGTCTCTTTCTTCCTCCTCCTCCACTTCCTTGTGTTCTTCCTCGGGGTGCTCCTCCTCCTCACTCTCCACCATTTGGGGGATGAGCTGGTTGCCTACAAAAACGTAGGTGTTGATGCGTCGCCGCCGGCAGCGCCTGCGTTTGCGCTTCTGGGGAACTCTTTGCACCATCCCCTTCCCCTGGCTGTCCTCGTTGGCCAGGTTTCTGAGCGTGCGGCGTATGTAGATCCGAGACAGATCTTGAAGGCTGCGGACAGTCACCGGGGCTGAGGACAAAGAGAGATGACACAGTCCTTCAGGGCAATAATCCATACAGCTGCATCAGTCTTCCAACTAGGTCAGTGTAAGCAAGTGAGGCAATCAAAGAGAAAACTGCATCTCAGTATTTCAAGGAAAAGAAATAACTGGCTCTACTTAGTCGCTGCTAGGCGAGCTTCATGTGTCAAAGCAAATATTGCTGTAGGAAACGTCTCATTTCATCACTTTGAATGTACTGTTTGACTTTAAAATTGTGCCTGCTTTACACTTCAAGACCAGTTAAGCATTTCTTTTTTTGTTTTTTTGCTGAGGACAGAGGCTGGAGAACTCACGCAGCTGGACAGTGTCAGGCTTCTCTCCATCAGCTCTGCTCTGCTGGACCAAAGGGGCAAAGGACACCGCCAAGATGTTTTTGCTGTCCCATGTGCACTGGCCAGTCCTGGTTATCTGGGTCAGCTGCATAAAGAGACAAAACCTGAACTCACACTGAACACTTATAAAATATGAAATCCTGCGCAACAGTATGGAG